TTCACTACAGGTGCCAGTTGAAAGTACAGGAATGTTAGGAGCAGCTGAGTATTTTTGCCTATTATGAGATGCTTAAAAGGTCTAAATCAGCAGCAAAAGTCAGCAGGACAGATAACAGCAGGAGCTCAGGGATAGTTAGAAGTGAAAAGCTAAGTGGTTTACTTGATATCTTAAAATATGAAGGTCATCGTCATTATTATTAATTTTTGTTGGAGCCCATTAGTGGTGGTCTCCACTGACACTCTGCTAGTGATTCCTGTGCTCCTTCTGCCTTAAAGAGATATCTCAGTTCTATGTGGTTCGGCTCCACGTCCTTCTTTCCCAGACTCATAGCATTTCTACCCATCCCTCTTTCCAATGTCTGTCAAGCCTTAATGTTAAACCCATTTCTCTTCTCTTCTAATTTCTTGAGAAAAAAACTCACTCTTCTCTCAAGGTCCATCTTTCCTGATGCCCTTTCCTATAAATGCAAATATTAAGTATATGAATATGATTTTTCTTATATTCTTTTCTCCTCGTGTCCATCATAATCATTATCTGGATTAATGAAAAAGCTTTCTACAATGTCCCTCCTTCTGTCAGAGTAGCAAATACTACTACTACTACTACTACTACTACTACTACTACTACTACCACCACCACCACTTTCTATGTGCCAGAATCATACAGAAAACCCTACAAAGTGGATAATATTATCCCCACACTGCAGAGGACAAAACTCAGTATTCAGCAAAGTACTTTCTGTAGTAACCCAGCTCTGTCAGATTTCAAAATCTATGTTCTTTCTGCTATCTCATAAAGCTTCCAATCATGTCCACCTTAATTCTGCACTCGTGCCACACCCAAAGTGATATATCACACATGCAAAGCTGATTGCATCATTCCCTAGTTAAAGCTCTCCAAGACCAAATTCCTGAGACCAATGTACAAGGCTCTCAAGACATGGCCCTCCAGCTTCTTTCCTCCCCACCACTGTCCCCAGTTACACTCTGTTTCTGTCAAAAGGCTTGTGGTTCCCTGTACTGAACAAGTGGCTTTATGTTCTGTTTTCCTACTCACACATTTTCATCTGTCCAGAATTCCTTTTTCATCCTTCAGCTTGCTCACTTTTGCAAGAAAGCTTCCTTGAATGGTCCAGGCAGGTGGAAAGCCCTCAATCAAGCTTTCATATTGCCCTGAGAGTGCCTCTATCCCAACACCTGCTATATTATATTGAAATAGTCTCTTCATGTATGGTTTCCTCCAGCCAGCCTATAAGTTCTTTGAGGGATGGGATGAGAAAGTTTTCACCTTGTACCCCCTTGATCCCATCAATGATCAGTGTCTGGCAGAAGGTAACCTGCTTCGGCATCTGAAAGGAACATGGCAAATGGAATCACCTCCCTATCCCATTGCCACGTTCTAGAGCTTGGAACCAAAGCCTACATTCCAAACCCTCAGGATCTTATAACATCTGTTTTATTCCACAGAATATTGTTGATTGGGTCACAAAGACTAACTACCATATTTATAGATGACCACTTTTATAATTTCCTCTTATAACTACTTTTGTCAACATCAAAATTCATGCTGATGACTTTTCACATGGCTTTTTGGCTTCAAGGTTCTCCTTCTTAATTATACCAGCCTCTACCTTGTTTCCACTGTAGTCATTCAATAACAAGAACAAACTCTCAGACACATTAACTTATGTAATGCTCCCTAGCAGTATGCTCTACCTCAAAAGATAGAACAGACTGATGGTTGCCAGAGAAGAGGGGGGTTAGGGAACTGGGTAAAAATGATGAAGGGATTAAGAAGTACAAATAGCAGTTGCAAAATAGTCACAGAAATGTAAATTACAGCATAGGGAATATGGTCAATAATGTAATAACTAAGTATAGTCCAGATGGGTACTGGAAATATCAGGGGAACAATGTCAAGTATATGATTGTCTAATCACTATGTTGTACACATGAAAGTAATATAAAATAAGATTGAGTGTAAACTATACTAATTGAAAAGTAAAATTTTAAAAGTAAAATAAAAATACTAGTAGAAAAAAGATGGTAGAAATGAGCTACTGAACAGTTAATTTGCACTAGATATTGTATTAGGCACCTTATATGTATTTCATTTTCTTTTCTCAGTAATCTAGTGACCACTTACTCATCAATCTCCCAATTCTTCCCATCAACTTAACCTTCTCTGTATTGGAATCTCTAATAAATAAAAAGTGACTATGAGGCCATAATTTTTACTCTTGCCAACACTGGAATCCCAGAATGAATCATTCCATTGGAGGGCATTAGCCTTGAGCTTCCTCTGGAGGTTTTTACATTAGGCAGACATCGATTCCCATGCTTCTTCCTTTGCACCCAAAGAAATGCCTTTCTTTTTCTATTAGATCATATCTTTATGACACGTCTCTTTCTCTACTGGCCCATGAACATCTGAAGTATATGGATCTTGTTCTATTTACATTTTCATAAAACACAGCAAGACTTAATAAATGTTTTCAAAATAAAGATATTGTCTTCTTGAAGTTTAAAAGTTTATCTTATATTGTATGATTCTATTTATGTAAAATATCCAGAATAGAAACATTTTAGAGACTGAAGATTGCTTAAGGCCAGGTGGAGGAGGTATGAAGAAATAAAATTTTATTGCAGAGTTTCTTTTAAAGGATTTGAAAATATGATGATGTTGGTGCAGCCACTATATTAGGAAAATAATATGGAATGTACTCAAAAAATTTACAAAGGGCCAGGATCGGTTTGGCTCAGTAGATAGAGCGTCGGCCTGCGGACTGAAGGGTCCCAGGTTTGATTCCGGTCAAGGGCATGTACATTGGCTGTTGGCACATCCCCAGTAGTGGGTGTGCAGGAGGCAGCTGATTGATGCTTCTCTCTCATCAATGTTTCTAACTCTATATCCCTCTCTCTTCTTCTCTGTATAAAAATCAATAAACTATATATTTTTTTAAATTTACAAAGGAACTACTGTTTGACCCAGTGATCCCACTTCTAGGAATATATCCTAAGAAGCTCTAAACACCAAACAGAAAGAATATATGCATCCCTATGTTCATAGCAGCACTGTTTACAATAGCTAAGATCTGGGTTAAATATATGTTTACTTGGGAGAATCAAGTCACCATGATAATATTATTTCTATGGGAAAGGTATAGTCAAAGCAAAATATAAGCCTACCAGAAACTTCCAACATCTTTCCACTAATAAATAAATAAGTCCCATCATTTATCTTGCAAGGCACTTCCAGTCCTACATCCCAGATCCTTCCTAGGTAAATGTGTGTGTTCTCTGGAAACACTCAGACTTTTTTATAACAAATCTACTGAGTGTTCTACCTCCAGGTTGTGAAATACAACTCCTGGAAGAAGGGCTTTTGAGGAATGAAGAATATCTTCTTCAAAGTAATCAGAAGAGCTCTTATTTTCATTATGCTTTCAGAATGTATGAAAAATAAGAGACTGGGACTTTTAAAAACTGTTGAGTGAGTTTATATATAGAGAGAACTATTTATACAAACAAGTAGCCCTCTATTATAAAAATTGCAGTTCTAGCTATTCTGCAATTAGCCATGTTCTATTTTCCATGCACTGTATTTTGTTTTATTTTATTCACACTGCAATTTTTTTCATTAATGGTGATAATGTAATCAACTAGTGTAAAATGCCATTTATCATTCTAAAAACCTCATGATATATTCTCTGTAATCATTTATATCAATAATTATTGAAGCCTCCATCATATAATTTATGTGTCAACAACACAAGGTCCACATGCTGTTTCCCTTGAAATGCTTTCAATGCAGATTTAGCCTATTCCCCAATATTGTTATGAAATGAGCCAACAGCATTATCTTCATTTAGCTAGAGATTATGTTGAAGGCTAAATAATAAGATAAAATCACAATTTTATCTCTAATTCTCTACAGGCAGGACAATGCTCATTCCATTAGACTATGATGTAATTAAAATGATTAAACTCCTCTTATATAATTTTGAAATATCTTTTTAAAAAGCATGCAATTGAGGACATTTTTTCATTATTGAGCAAATTAAATTCTCATAATTTCATAGAGAGTTTTTGTTCTAACTAAACAAGTCCATCATTTTAAAAATAAAGTATATCTTCTCTATGTTTTTGTAAGTTTCTTAAAACAAGGTTCAGCCCAACCTGTGTGTCTCAGTGGTTGAGCATTGACCCATGAACCAAGAGGTCATGGTTCAATTCCCAGTCAGGGTACATTCCTGGGTTTGTGGGCTAGAACCCAAGTAAAGGGAGTGCAGGAAGCAGCCAACTGATGATGTTTCTATCTCTCATTTATGTTTCTATCTCTATCCCTCACCCCTCCTCTCTTTCTAAAAATCAATAAAAACATATTTAAAAAACAAGGTTCAGCCGAAACCAGTTTGGCTCAGTGGAAAGAACGTAAGCCTGGGGCCTGAAAAGTCCCAGGTTCGATTCTGGTCAAGGGCATGTACCTTGGTGGGCACATCCCCAGTTGAGGGGAGAGGGGATATGCAAGAGGCAGCTGATTGATGATTCTCTCTCATCAATGTTTCTAACTATCTCTCTCTCTTCCTCTCTGTAAAAAATCAAAAAATAAATTAAAAAAAAATAAGGTTCACATATTTTCTTAATTGACTTACTCAAAGTTGTTTATCTATAGCAGTGGTCCGCAAATAGTGGCTTGCAAGCCATATGCGACTCTTTGGCCCCTTGAGTTTTTAGCAAAGGCCAACTTAGGGGTATTCTAAGTAAGTTAATAACGATGTACCTACCTATATAGTTTAAGTTTAAAAAATTTGGCTCTCAAATTTCAATTGTACTGTTGATATTTAGCTCTGTTGACTAATGAGTTTGTGGACCACTGACCTATAGTGATAACTTAACAAATATATACTGACTGGTCAAATAGGGAGCTAAATTTATCATTTAGGTAGTTTGAAGGTCTCATATGCATAATCAGAAAATTTTCACATAATTACTTACCTCTTCGAGTTGGCATGCTTTGATGACACTCCTATATCTATACTCATCATAAGAAACACCAAAGATAATATTTTCCTTAATGGTGCCTGGCATGATCCATGAAAACTGAGAGCAGAATGAAATTCTTCCACTGTGCCTAATTTTACCCTCAGAAGGCTCCAGTTCTCCCATAATCATCATCAGAAGTGAAGTCTAAAAATGAAACCATTATTTAGTTAAATCATTTGATCAAATCCCTCTCAAGATGCTCTTGCCACCAACTGTCACCTTAAGTAGAGATATCTATTCCAATTTTAAAAGATTCTATAATTATTCATTCAGTTCAAAATTTATTAAGCACTTCCTATTTGGGGTACATTGATAGTGAACTAAAAAAAAAAAAAAAAAAAAAAAAAAAAAAAAGACCAAAGATGTAACAAAAAGTTATTATTATAAATATAATCACTAGAAAAAAACACCTCTCCAATCTCTAAAACTTGGGATGCCCTTAGCCTCCTCACACCTTTGGCGCCTTTCTCTCCCACACCCACCAACCCATGCCTTTCATCTAAATCCAACAGCTTGTTCCACACTTCTATGTCTCGGATCTATATTGTTCATGTGTCTATTTTGTTCATTAAATTCCACATATGTGTAAGAGCACGGGACACGTTTTTTTCTAATGGGTTGTCTGTATGTTACCTTTTGATTTTAAGATTGCTTTATCTAGAGAGGGATTATTCCTTTGTGTGATATAAATTGCATACATTTACTTTAGAATGACATTTTTTACTCCTGTTTTCCATGCACAAGTGGTTTGTATTGTTGGTGTGTTGTTTTTTAAGTGATTAATAGCTTTTATTTTATTAATGCCCACCTTGTACAAGACACTGCACTGGGAGCTTTACAAAACTGAAAGATGTAGATAGAGTCACTGGTATTATAATAACATGAAAAAATAAAGGCTAGAGGATGTTATCAGTGGAATAACTTATAAGAAACACTATATCTAAGCACTATCCTAATACCAATGTAAACATTTCCTCAAAATACCCAAAAAAAGAAATGCAGGCTAAGTTAAGAACTTAATGATAAAGAACAAAAAAAACTACCTTGCCTGCTCCAGTAGATCCAGCAACTGCCAAAAGCTGTCCTCTTTCTATCTTGAAGTTGATATTTTTCAGGACAGGAGTACCAAGAAGTGAGATGTTACTGAAGAAGACGCTGTTATCACCATTGCAAATGTTTTTAGTATCATAGTTCTGTTTTGCATTCTCAAATAATTCCCCAAATCCCTGTTAAGAAAAGAAAAATCAAAACAAAACAAAAAAAACAGAAATTTTAAAAACTCAGCTTTCCAGATATTTTCAATAGCCATTTATTTTATGTATGATGAGTTTGAAAATCATAGCACATGGCCCATGATCCATACATTATAGCACATTATTTTTTAACAGAACATTTAAAAAATATATATATTTTATTTATTTTTCACAGAGAGGAAGGAAGAGGGATAGAGAGCTAGAAACATCGATGAGAGAGAAACATCGACCAGCTGCTTCCTGCACACACCCTGCCAGGGATGTGCCCGCAACCAATGTACATGCCCTTGACCGGAATCGAACCTGGGACCTTTCAGTCTGCAGACCGACACTCTATCCACTGAGCCAAATCGGTTTCAGCTAGTACATTATTATATAGCCCATCATTTCTAGAGCACATGATCCAAAACAGTTGAAATGATAATTATGGCATTTAATAATAATCATTTTAATTTCTTAAATTATTGCTAGACATAAAATTAAATTAAATATGCCTATTTATATATGTAAGTATATATATATGTATATATGTATATATGTATATATATATATATCTTCTCATGTAGGTTGGATACATAAACATTATCATTTAATCCTCAGCATAATAATAATATATGTGTCAAGATTTGACAATCCCTTTCTTTCAAAGCTGTAGACTGTGATTCAGAGAGGTTAAATGGCAAAAGTCACATAACTAATAAGCTACAGTGGAATTACAGCCCAAATCTGACTTCTACTCTATCATATTAGTAGGACCTTCTTCTGAAAAGCTCAAATTATTTCTTTAAGTAGTTATTATTAAACATAAGCATGCCCTGGCAAGTGTTTCCTCATGGTTAGAGTATTGGCTTGCACACAGAAGGGTGGCAAGTTTGATTCCTGGTCAAGGGCACATACCTGGGTTGCAGGTTCAATCCCAGCCCCAGAGAGGGCGTGTGCAGGAGGCAACCAGTCCACATGTCTCTCTCACATTGATTTTTCAATCTCTCTCTCTCTGTCCTCTCCCCCCTGCCTTCCTTCCCCTCCCTCTAAAATCAATAGATCAAATATTCTTAGGTGATGATTAGCAAAAAGCAAACAACAAAAACCATAAATGTGACGATATTGCCAGATTATTTGAATGAATTCCATTTACACAAGAAGGCGATTGTGTCTTACCTAGCTCAGAATAGATTTCAGAAAGGAGTTAAAGGATAAGAGATTTTAATTAACTATTTATTTGATTGCTTATTTAATTTTTAATAATTTAATAAATTAATACACATTAACTCTCTTTATTATTAAATATTTATTGTTGAAAGTATTACATATGTCCCCCTTTATCCCTACTGACCCCTTCTAGCCTGCCTCCACCCATTTTAAAGTTATACTTTTTCTGAGATAAAGTCAACTGATTGGCTTGACAATGAGAACAGACTTACATAAATTTATTTTTCTTCCATAAATTGAATACATTGAAAGTGCAGCTCCCAAGTTTTGACAAAAACCCATTTAACACACATACGATAAACAGGAATGACTTCTTTTGCCACCATTTAAACTTAGGTTGAAAATTTATAAGCCAACTTAAAAATGTGTCAGAGGTTCATAGTTTTTCAAAATCCTTTTACATTTGAAGATTGCTGCTTTGAGTCCATATGTTATAGATGGCTAATGATCCCTCAGTCATCAGACAACTAAAAGCAAAGCTTTTAAGAAATAAGCAATTAAGGTGTTAATAAATGAGCCCTAGCCCTAGCCAGTTTGATTAAGTGGATAGAGCGTCTGTCTGGAGACTGAAGGTCCCGGTTTTATTTCAATCAAAGGCACACACCCAGGCTGTGGGCTTAATCCCCAATAGGAGGCAGCTGGTTAATGATTCTGTCTCATCAGTGATATTTCTCACTCTCTCTCTCCCTCTCCCTTCCTCTCTGAATTCAATAAAAAAAAAAAAAAAATATATATATATATATATATATATTTTTTTTTTTTTTTTTTTTTTTAAAGAGAGAGCCCTGGCTGGTTTGATTGAGTTGGTTGGGCATCTTCCTGTGCACCATAAGGTTGACAGTTTGATTCTTGGCCAGGGCTCGCACCTGGGTTGCAGGCTTGTCCCCTGGTAGGTGGCGTTAAGGAGGCAGCCAATTGATATTTTGCTCTCACATCGATGTTTCTCTCTCTTCCTCTACTTTCCTCTCTCTCTGAAAATGAATTTTTTAAAGTGTTAAAAAATGATACAAAGCTATTTGTTATTCCCTTATTCATTTATCAAATAGATTAAACTTATTGAGTATCACCTCTGTATTAAAGATAACTTCAAAGAATTCCACATGGGAAAAAAACATGAATAAATATTAATATTGCAACATGCTTAGGGCTACAACTGAAAATCATACCAAGTCCAATGGGAGTACATTAGAAGGAGCAACTGACTCAGCCTGAGCTTGACCAAGTAAATGATCTACACATGAGCCTATAAAGGATGTAAGTGGGACTTCACAAGACCAAGGAATAGTATATGTATTCTAGGAAGATGGATCTGCATGCACAATGACTTAGGCTTAAAAGAACAAACTATGTGTCAGGAATGATGAGTGGCTGGGTCAGGTACATATGACAAGATGACAAAGGCTGTGCTTGGTGAGGTGGGCCGTACAGGCTGTTAAGGAGATTGTGTGGCATGCTTAGGACTTTTATCCAGTAAGAGAGACTCGGACTAATGGCAGGTTATTGTTCATAATAACTTTGATTTCTAATTACAGAAGTAAGATACTGATTTCAGGAAATTTGGAAAATATAGAAGAGTGGAAAGAAGAAGAAATTACCTATAGCACTGCTACTGAAAAAAAAAAAAACTTTAACATTTCAACTGATATCCCTCCACTTTTACATATAATATAAATGTACATAATATATAAAACCATATGTAATTTTTACATGAATAAAAATTGTATATAAAGTTTGTGACCTGCTTTTTGGACTTAAAATAAATGATAAAAATTTTCATATACCATTAGCATTCTTCTAAATATATTTTGGTTGCAGGATAGTATCCAAGAGTGTGTATAAATTATATATATATGTACTTTGCCACAAATGTGGAGTACACTTTTTTTAGTATAAATCTTGACAAGTGAACTTTCCAAAGAGAACGAGTTATAAAATTCTTAAGTCCTTTGGAAAGTAGTTCAAAATTTTCCTCCATCAATATATGATAATGCTAGTTTTTCAAAAATCCTTATCAATACTGTTGGCGTTTGTTATTGTTTTTTCCTCTTTTATAGTTTTCTAGGTGAAAATGGAGTCTCACTATCAGATCTTAGCCTTGTTTATTTGCTTCCTAGTTAAGGCTAAAAAATTCACCATATTTATGAACCCTATATACCTGTGAGTGGAATGGTTTTAATAGTCTTTGTATTAATCTCACTTTTTGTTTCATCTTCTCAACTAGCTGAGTCATGGTTGACAAGTCATTATAACATTCTGAGCTTCAGTCTCCTGAGTTATTGAGGGTATTAGATGAGGTAACATATATATAACATTGTTTTGTCTACAATAAAGCAATAGTCAATCTTTTAAAAAAAAATCAGAGGCAGTGTGATGAGTGGAAAAGGGCTCTGCAGTCAGAGAAACCTAAGCTGATCTTCTAGCTCCACCCTATCTAGTTATATAACCTTGTTCTAGTAACTTAAACTTTCTAAGTCTCAGCTTCCGAATCATAAATAGAAAGTCTACCTACTCATAGGTTTGGAGTGAGGAAGGAGTCATATATAACTCATCAGGGACTTACCTCCTGCATAACTGGGTCAATGGTGATGTCATCAGAGAAGAAAAAGAATACACTGGAAACTTGGGGAGTGATAAATGTGAAGGGCTCAAGGAGCATGTGGAAAATTTGGAAATATGAACATGAAGTTCAGGAAAGTGGGGCCAGAGATTTGCATTTAAGAGTCATTAACTCCTTGTTCTCAAGGGTGAGCCTGGGGAGATCACCCACAGAGAGCAGGAAATGCTAGGAGATGTAGGTGGAGACTCAGTGGCCCATCACTACTGAAATGGCATGCAGGGATGACTAGAATTCACAGTTGAGGATACAGTACTGTGGAAAGTGAGGATACAGACAGACAGGAGTCAATGGGTCAGTGAAAGGGTTGTAGATGTTGGCATTTGGGTCTAAAATCTGGCTTTGGCTCTTGACAGTTGTGTGAGCTAAGTCAGGTCCCTTCACCTTTCTAAGCCTCCATTTCCTTATCATTGAAATGAAAATGTTAATATTACTATTATAGCTCATAGGACTATTATGAGAATTAAAGGAGACAACACATATTTTCAGGAGAGTGAAAGTGAGGACTTTTGTCTAAGAGTAGGAAAGCAATTGTTTGAAAATAGTTGTGAAAATGTCAAATGTATTTTTCCTTCATTCCTAGAAGGGCATTTGAAATTTCTAAAAGCAAAAAATATCAATCTGATCCACACACTTCCACAAACAACTTTGTTAGTCAGATAAAGAATTATTTTCTTGACTAGAATCCTAATAAAAGATAGTTTTAGGTAAAGTGAAAAAAATAAAAGAATTATTTTCTTACCTATAGCTTAAAACATGAAGTAAAGTGAAGCTCTGGTGACCATGTTGCTTATAAAACAAATTTAAGATATTGTATAGTACGTAGAAATAGGACATTGGTTTCATAACTCCTATCTTTACACAGATCTTAGTGAGAAGAAATAGGAACTCAATAGGGTTTCTCAATAATCAGATATTGTTTTATGAGAGGCTGAAAATCATTGATAATATATTTTCTGACTTTGAGAAATATGAGGATTGTTTAATAATAAATTAAAATAAGCACAAATCATAGAAAACCATACATGGGTAGAGATCTCATACATCTTTATGTTGACTGGAGTCTGTAAAGCACTTGGACCGGAACTTGAGATCAGATAAGGTAGCATTTATTGAGGAATTATTATATGCACGGTATTCTGTTGGAGACTTTATATAAGTCTGTCAAGTGAATATTAATATTTTCATTTTACAGATGGAGAATCAAAGGCTCCACTAAGTTCAATAACTCAATCTAGATTACACAGAGAACAAACAGCAGAACCAGGATTCAAATTCAGCCCTACCCAGATCCAAAATCAATGAACTTTGTATTACTTCCTGATATGTCATGTGAAATAAGTTACATGACCCAAAAAAATTTAAAGAGGCTTCAATAACATTTTTAACATTTCTGAGCCTCTACTTCTTAATCTATTAAATAAGTGGAGTGGTTCACTTTCCAGTTCTAACCTCATTCTCATTGTCCATTAATATAAAAATGACATTCACACACAAAAAAATGCTTAATAAGTAAATTTTTTTTAATTCTTACCTCTTCCCAGAAAGCTGTTACATTCTCCATCACTACTTCTGTAGTTGTTAAGTTATATTCCAATGTCTTGTACTCCTGCTTTTGTAAGAAATCCTGTTAATAAAAATAGAGCAAAAACGTTGTTATATTCTAATCCTATCTAATAAAAGAGTAATATGCAAATTGACTGTCACTCCAACACACAAGATGGCTGCCCCCATGTGGTCAAAATGGCTGCCCTCATGTGGACCAGGCCTGCAAGGGAGGGCAGTTGTGGGCCATCAGGCCAGCAGGGGAAGGAAATTGGGGGCGATCAGCCTACAGGGGAAGGCAGTTAGGATTAACCAGGCTGGCAGAGGAGGGAAGTTGGGGGCTACCGGGCCTGCAGGAAATGGCAGTTGGGGGGGGGGGGAGACCCAGGCCTGCAGGGAAGAGCAATTGGGGGGATAAGGCCTGCAGTTAAGAGTGACCAGGCCTGTAGGCGAGGGCAGTTAGGGGTGACCAGGCCTGCAGGGGAGGGCAGTTAGGGGCAATCAGGCTGGCAGGAGAGTGGTTAGGGGATGATCAGGCTGGCAGATAGAAGAGGTTAGGGGCAATCAGGAAGGCAGGCAGGTGAGCATACAGGAGCCAGCAGTCCTGGATTATGAGAGGGATATCCAACTGGGATCAGGCCTAAAAGGGCAGTTGGACATCCCCTAAAATTGGAGGAGTCCAGGCTGGGCTGAGGGACATGCCACACACACCCCCATTGCACGAATTGTATGCACTGGGCCTTTAGTGTTTTATAGAACTTAAAAAGTACCCTGCATTAGCCAATTTGCCTCAATTAGGACAAAGAGAAAACCAGTATCTTTATCTTTATAGCTTTTTAGAAGCATCATTAGCATCACTTCTCGGGGAAAGTAAGGGTGTGAAGATCTGATATAACTGATTTTAAGGCATCAAAGCTTGATTCTAAAGGGCCCTATAGAAACTCCCATTTACAGTGTTCTAAGGGAAAGTGGGAGCACAAGGAAGAATTAAGCCCAGGCATCCTGAAGTCTTCACCACCGGAGATAATGAAACCAGTCCGGTCCTTGCCTCATTTTCCCCTTTCTTTTCTAGCTTTTCTCTCTCTTGCTACCTCAGTTTTGGTTTCTCTCTTTTAATCTAATTTTTTTTCAAGATCTGTGTTCCTGTTCAGTGGCCCATCTCTGTCTCTGTGACACTTTCATTTTCTCGTTTCTGAACTGTATGTCCGTTCTCTCTCTCTCTCTCTCTCTCTCTCTCTCTCTCTCTCTCTCTCTCTCTCTCTCTCTCTCTCTCTCTCTTTCTCATACACACACACACACACACACACACACACACACCTGTGATGGGTTAAGAGAAGAAATAAGATTAGTCCAAGACCTGCTATGGTTTTGAGCTACACTCATCAATTTGCCTAAATTGCAGATCTCAAACTCACATGTTTGAAATATGATAAAATTAGAGAAGAGGACCCATTTACTATATATTCCAATCCTCTGAAAGAGACTGAAGATACAATTTATTGCATATGTGACATCTCCTCATTTTTAAATGTTGGCAAATAGTTATAATGTTTTTGTTCTTTTTAATGTGAAGGTCAAATGAAACTGGTCTAGGGGCCAAAATTAGGTCCATGGGCCACACTCTGCAAACTCTGGCTTAGATTAAATAATGGCAGAACCACTGAAAAGTGGTTCACCCGTCACCATCACCTTTATGTATGTCACAATGGTTTATTTTCTGGGTTAGATATTTAAATAGTATTTAAAGTACAATAAAACATTTTTACCTGCATATTAATTATAAAAATCATAACCATATACAAGTTCATAGTAGTGATTAAATTAGCTTTGTATAAACTTGAGTCTCATCACTTGAGGACTTTAGAACTTTTCTTCAGAGATACCAGCTACATCAGCATTGCTGAGGTTTTATGTGATAAAAAATACCATTCGCATCCACCATATTGCCCAAGGAAATACTTGGAAAACTTTGAAGTGAACCTTCTTAGAGTTCACTGGAAAGTTTTTTTTAACTTCCTGGTAAATCTGCCAGGAAATTTTTGCACATTTGCCAAGTTCATGAGAATAACCAATTGATTGATTACTTGAATAAAATTCCTCAGAATATAGACACAATATTTCTGCAATTGTTTTGACTTGAGAGGATCTCACAGGCTTTTATTTTATTTCAATAAACTTTCATTCCTAGGACTTGTTAGACCACATATAGACGTCAAGAGAGAAAATTCTGAGCACCTAACAGGCCCCAAACAGTCTGCCCACTATTAAAGTTCTAAACGATTCTAAAAGCATTGTCTACAGTGCCCACTGATGATACATTACCTGTATTTTGTTTATTGCTCCAAGAGAGTCATACCATGTCTGTACTGCCCAGGGGAATTGCCGAGTGACCGCCATGCGCAGAACGATGCAGAATGAGATGGTCGTGAATATTTTCCGAAGGATGACGCCTTTGCTCAACGCATGGGGAAGCACAGACAGAAACACCACGAAGAACCCTGAGAAGAAGAAGGCTGAGCTATTGAAGTATCTCACGTAGGCTGCCTTCCGGGTCAGTTTCAGTTCCGTTCTATAAAACAAAACAGGAACATTTGGGATGCTCATGTACTTTTCAGCTTGGAATCCGAACACAGGCTCCCAAGGCTTTGTGCCCGGGGGGCAAGTTATTTAACCTCTCTGGGCCTCACTGACCTTATCTGAAAGAGGAATAAAAATGAATGTATCAGCCGAAGCCGGTTTGGTCTGCGGACTGAAAGGTCCCAGGTTCGATTCTGGTCAAGGGCATGTACATTGGTTGCGGGCACATCCCTGGTAGGGGGTGTGCAAGAGGCAGCTGGTTGATGTTTCTCTCTCATCGACATTTCTAGCTCTCTATCCCTCTTTCCTCCTCTCTATAAAAAAATCAATAAAATATATTTTTTTAAAAATGAATGCATCAATGTTTTGTCAATTATACCTGTAAATAGTATTTCTAAACTGTAACTATGTACTAAGCTCAATTACTATGACATTATTTTCACACCTTTATCACTTCATTATAATTAGTAAGATTAGTGAGACTTTGATGATTTTTTTTGTTTCTTAGTTGGTGTTTTAAGTGTTTAGGTGTAGAAATGAGGACAATGTTATAAGATTTATAAAGAAAAAGACAATTCTGTGGTTCCCTAATAGTTTCTTAGCACTTTAGAAATTCTAGCTTGGCTTTGGGGAACACTGGAAATAATATATAAGCCACAGAGGAGTGTTTTTGAAGCGTTAACATTAAGTAAAAATTATCTGAGAAACTTTTTAAAATACAGTCTCAGGCCCAGCTTTCAGAGACATTGAGTGAGTCTGGAAAAGGCCTTAAAAAAAAAAAAAAAAAAAAAAAAAAAAGAACCCAAGTGATTCTGGTTCTTGAAAATTATGAATGAAAATCCTGTATTCTCTTTGTCTCTCTCATTTCAGTATAATTATTTGAAATCATATTATACTTCTGATCTGAATCTAGGCTAAATAGCAAATGTGAACTTTCTTTTCTTAAAACACACAGAAGAGGTTTAAATGCTCCAACCAGAAAACAGGAAGTGCAGAGGTGAGAACAGAGGACAACACTGCCTTCAACTTCTTCCCATTCTTCCGGGACCATAAAAGCTCGGGTCACGTGGTTCTCCTGTTCAGCTCTTTTGAGGGAAAGAGCAGTGAGGACACAGACAGTAGAGGGTCCTGGTGGGAGGGAGCAATAGGTGTGCCTGGCATTTGGCTGCTACTTTCACACATTTACATAACTTGGAAAGGTTCTTCTTCTTAAGTGATAGAATTCAGAGGGAATCTTCTTTTTTTTTCTTTTTTTCAAGTTTAACAAATGTAATCTTGTGCCCTAACTGGTTTGGCTCAGTGGATATAGCATTGGCCTGTGGACTGAAGGGCCCCAGGTTCAATTCCAGTCAAGGGCAGGTACCTTAGTTGCAGGCACATCCCCAGCAGGAGGCAGTTGATTGATGTTTCTCTCTCATGGATGTTTCTAACACTCTATCCCTCACCTTTCCTCTCTGTAAAAAAAAAAAAAATCAATAAAATATATATTTTTAAAATGTAATCTTGAGCACTCTGATGAAGAAAATAGGGTTCAATGTGTTCTGATGTATAGTCTAATGCTTACTTTTATTGATAATTTAGCATTGAAGACAGATTATGAGTTTGGAATCTCACTGGGGTTTCACTCCTGGCTGTGACAGGAAAAGCCATGCCATCTTCAGTAAATTGTCCTTCCCTCTGATCCTTCAGAACCCACATCCGCAGAAGGGAAACATACAGCTTCCTGGTGGAGCTGCTGTCAAGATAAAGGACTTCTCAGCCTAGGACCTGGCACTTGGGACTTACTATGTTGTCTTTAATCTTCATCCAAGAAAGACTCATACTGACTCTGCTGATATTAATAAAATGCTAGAAAACACAGTTTACAAAAATGTTTATAAATCTGTCAAAATTGTTGTTGAAACGCATTAGAAATGGTTGAGGAAAATGGAACAAGTGTACTCTAGGAAAAGAAGAATGGATTCGGGAATATTTATAAGAATCACCAAGAAAGCAGTGCTCTCCATAATAAAATCACTCACACTTTATGGACTCATAAAAATATTTTATCAGTTTCTTATATAAAAAAAATTGAAAGTGACTTTATCACCAGAGAGCAATAAAGGAGTCAATTATCTGTATTTTAAAAAGTTTCTCAGGTAAGTTGTACTTATGCTAACATTTGCACAGCCTTTTGCCCCGTTCAACAGTGGCCCAAGCTGAGGGAACTTCCCCTTTGAAGTGCATCCTACCAATCTCTTGCAGAACATTATATTTGCTCTTCTAAACAGAAGCAATTCTTGCTTTCCCATTTTACGTCAGCACTTTCCAGCCTTTTCAGGTAACAATTTCATGCCAGATTAAGGAACTGGATTAAACAAGTTACAACCAAGCATTTCCGATTAAAATTGGTCAAACAGAAATACAGAGTAGGAAGGATAAATAACAGAAAGGGGAAAAGTCAGCAAGCAGAAAGACCTGATCAAGAGTTTATCTTGACGCCTGAGAAAACTCCTCCTTCACTCATGCTATGCCTGTGTTTGTAGGCACAGTAAAGACCAAGGAGGCAAGAGAAACACTTGCTATTGAGAAAAAAGACTTTTAACAAAACATTTTCCCAAGATCTTTAACGATGATGTTTCTGGAATGGAAATATAATTCCTTCCCTGGATTTGTCTTGAAAGGCATAATAAAAACAGGTGAGCAATACTGTTTAGGAAATAAATACCCTTTTACTCTTTCTATTTACATGGCAAAGGACTTAGCATTTCAGCGTTTCTTTTGTTGTTCCAATCACACACCTGCAGCTCAGTTGCCATCACTGTCTACTGGAATCAGCAGCCTGGATTCCTGATAACCCACAGTCACACCAGCCAAAAGGCGCTGCTCTTCCCTTAGGGTATTTTTCCCTGTGAAACTCTCGTGTTATCTGTTCTGAAATAATTTGTCTTCTAACGATATATCTATCCCCACTGAGTCTCCTAGAGCATTTATTTGAATGCAGTTTGTAGAACATGGGTCTTGACTAAAGATAAATGGCCTCATGCCTACCTTGTTTGTATTTTGCCAAAAATTATCTCAGTAATCTTACCTCAGCCTGTGCTATACTTTGTTTTTCTGGATATCATCTTTTGTAATCAGTGAAAGAAAGGTTGTCTGAGGCGAAACAAGACTAGAGAGAGGTGTCGAGTACTGATTCTAACTCAGGATGTGTTTTTCGTTACTTGAACTGACTTCCCAAGGGGAAGGTTTACAGAAACATGATGTATAACTATTACCCTGTGCTATTATCTTTAAATTAAGGAAGAACAAACATCTTGACCAAAGGAAGCAGGGTATTGTTTTTTTCATTTTTCATGAGCTATAACACGGAGGTTAAGGAAAATATAACAATAGCCAATCATTTATTTGGTTCAGAATTGTGCACTTCTTGCTCTAGCAGTTCCACTTAAGGTTTCAATCAGCCTCCAGCATGCTTAATACTTTAGTCAAATAAGGGTATTAAGCAGCTATAATCACATATATGAGATTCTTTTGTGAGGTTTGAAAACCTTTCTAGTGAAAACACACCTGACAAATGATGTAAATGTACAGCCCATGAAAATGACTTTATGCCACTAACACATGGATATTTGAGATAACTTAATACAATTGTTTGTCAGAAACTTCAAATATGAGCTAGAAGTCCACTGAAAGTTATTTTTGGAATATTAAACATTCAGAATGATACTGAAACTATCTAAATGACTTACTGCCTTAGGTTTTCAATCATTTTTTCCATTGCTTCCTCCCAGCAGTATGCTTTAACAGATTGGATATTTTCAATAATTTCTGAGGTGATCACGAGTCTTTCATTGATTTTCCCAGCTCTCTGATCTCTGTAAGTCAATCATTCAATTTAACAATTAGTAAAAACAAGGCACATTATGCACTAAGAACTGCTCAAGCTTTTAAAAAGTCACATTTCTTTTATTAAACAGCATTTTATTAACAAATAGATAAAAAAATAATAGCTACCACTTAATAAATTACCCCTATGTATTATACATTGTAGTAGATGCATTCCATACTCTATTCCTAATGCTTATTGACAGTCTAGGAGTGGTGGTTATCTCTATTTTTAAGATGAAAAAAAAACAGAAACTCAGTGGAGTAAAGTGGCTTAGGTCACATAACTAGTAAGGTGCACTCTGGGATTCCAACAAGAGCTAACTGACTCCAAAATTTGTACATTTTCTATTATGTTCTAGCTGACAAACTCCTCTATCTAAGCAATGACGATCACGGAGTCATTCTGTAATATAAAGTAACTAAGGCTTTGATGTGATAATCCATGAACCAGGTAGTAAAAGCTTATAAACTACCCAAGATCTATGTGTTCCTTCCCATTCAATTAATATTTTATATATTATACTTAAATCTCATGAACTACAAAAGTCAACTGAATGGTGATACATTTATAAAGAAATTCTACAAACTGACAAGTAAAAAATGTCCCATTGATATAGGAAGTTTTATTTGCACCATTAAAATAATTCCCTGATGGTGTGCTCACCACCAAAAGGCAAGTGTCATTCCATCACCATTTACTCCCCCCACTTACACTCTTTTACTTACCCGCCCCCTCCTTTCCTTCTGGTCATCATTATGCTGTTGTCTATGAGGTTGTTTTTCCCCTTAATCCCTTCACCTTTTCACCCAGCCCCCAAAACCCTCCCCTCTGATAGCTATCTGTCTGTTCTCTGAATCTATTTTGTTTGTTTGTATATTTTGTTCATTAAATTTCATATATAAGTGAAATCATATAGTAAATGAATAAATTAATTAAATCAAATCATTCCTTTTTAGTGACACCCAGTAAATAATGCACAGAGCAGTCCTGGGTTTATTGAAAACCTAATGTAGAAGCCTTTCAAGCTAATGTAAGTAGAGTGCTACCTGTACTTCATCATCATCCTCCCTAGCCCCGCTTGGAAAATGGAGAGGACGATGAGGACAGCGAGTCCGCAGAAGGCGGAGGCCTGTAACAGATCCCAAAGCAGCCCCATCAGGAGCGCCACTTGTAGGGGTGCGATCCACACGAAATGCGCCAGTGCGAGTCCCTGGAAAATAAAATCACAGTGAAAACTGGGGATATTTTATCCCTCCCCCCACCCCCCATAAAAACAGACAAGCATAGATGAATGATCTTCTACAATCAAACACTTTATGATTCTGAGCACACGAAAATCTAGGTAGTCATTACATAAAACACATAGCAAATATGCTTAAACCTTCTACACACAGACTGGGATTTCCCAAGGAACACATTTCAAGTTACTGCATTTTTATGTATGGGTTTTGTTTTTTTAATCCCGTGGACTTGACACTGACTCTCTTAAGTGTCATGGCAAGAATTTCTTTTAAATAACTTACTTCTATTTGGAGAAAACAAGAGCCATGAGAGAACAAGACTGTCCAGAAGCCAGTCTCCAAGGCGCAACTCTGACCACATATTCAGAATAAACGCATGCTCAATGCAACAGGAATTTACTTAGCGCCTCTTTAGGCTCAACACTACATTAAATATTGAAAATGCAAAGATCAATAAGACACATTATCTGTTCTCAAGGAACCAGCATTTATTTGTGACACAAGATGGCACTGACCAAAAATTGCTCAGAATATCATATTCAACCAAAGTAAATAAGTGATTTAAAGTATTAAAAAAAACAATACCAAATAAGAATTAGTTTTGAAAAACCTCACCACATACCCAGCAAGCTCAGCGTCTGAACTGTGTGGTTCCACAAGACTCGAGAATGGCACCTGACTACACAATTTACCTTTCTCAGTTTCAAAAATAGCGAAGGTAGAGAGATGTGTTCTACTTAACCACTTATTACCGTTTTCTGACCCAGGAAAACCTTCAGGGTTCTATGATTTTTAACGATAATGCATAAAAGATTATATCAGTAGGTACATACTTCATCAAACTTGTTCAGGTTATTGGAAAGGAGACTAACAAGTTGTCCAATACTGATTTTATCTAGAACACGGCTTGACAGCTTTAAAGTCTAAAAGGAAAAATCAGAAGTTAGATGATGTTGAAAAACAGAAGACAAATATATCCATAAGTAACATTATAACATAGCTAAGGTATTAGTTTACTATGTGTGTATTTTCAAGTAAAGATAATGAAAATCACTTTATGTTCATTTAGTTTTCTATCTTCTCAGATATATTAATATTGCTCTTCATAACAAATATTATACTGGCATGCCCCTCATTATTTTATTTTCCAGCATTTAGACAGTAATAAGTATTTTTTTTGCTCCTCCAAAATGGAAATGATATTGTACCTAAATACTTGTTTATACAGTGTAAAGGGTTTGTTTTATTGTTATAAAACATGGAACCAAAGGCAGTGGAATTTTTAATTAAAACCTTGGCCTTGCCCTGGCTGGTATGGCCCAATGGGTTGGACACTGTCCCCTGCACTGAGGGGTTCCCCGTTCAATTCCCAGTTAGAGCACACACCTGGGTGGTGGGTCTGATCCCTGATGATCATCCAGGAGGCAGCCAATGTTTCCCTCTTATATCAGCATTTCTCTCTCCCTTCCTCTCCCTTTAAGCATCCATTTTAAAAATCTTTTTTTAAAAATACAAAAACCTTGGCCTTAAATTTTGCTTGCAGTCCTATTGTAACTCTATTGAATAAAAGTAATGTCAAAGTCTATTAAAGTACATTATGAATAGCTGAATCATTAATAATTTTGTGAAAGATTATACCACTAATATAAAATCCTTAAATTTTACAAAGAAATATACATCCATATATACAAAATATAATTTAGTAGATAAATGAGCTATGCTTATAAAAAATTAGTCATACTTTACCTGCAAAATTTAATAAGAATTGATTTTCCATTTATATGAAAGTATCTATCTAATATTTGTTTTAACTAAATTCCTCACATATGTATTGAGCACTTAGTAGATGCAAATCATTATTGTTTAAGGTTTCAAAGATTATTAAGATTTATAAAAAAATAATTCTTGCCTCAAGGCAACCTAGTCTGTGCATATCTAAATATGATAAAGATAAATGAGTTAAAGGGAGTAGAATATAAGAGTGGTTAAGAGTAAGTTCACATATCCGGTTACAAAGTGTTGAATAATGAATAGCATATAGATAAGCACAGATGAAGAAGGAATCAAGGCAATTAATTCCAAAACACTATTAGAGCAACATGAGGGTAGAGGAGGAATCCGCTGAGCTGGATCACACATAACTTAATAACAGACTCAGTCTCCGGTGACTGAGGTCTCTCTCCATGGGTCTCCATGTTAAGCACAATAAACAGTGAATACTTTTCACTTTAGTTTTCTCTATCTTGTTGAAAATCACAGGCAAAGCTAAATTTAGTTTGTATTAAGATTCATTTATTTTAAATATAATGTGAACATGTCATAGTTGCAGATTTGGGAACAAAGCAAAACGTTGCCCTATTACAAAATTTGGAATACTGCAGAAAGAATTAGTGGTGGCTGCTACATGGATGAACATGGTCACCAAGGGTACCAGTTTACTTTAGGAACCAAACCACGCCCATTTGGAGATGCAATTGCAGCCTTCAAAGAAGGCTAATGAATGTGGCTAGGTAAGTAAAGCAAACTAGGTAAGAACAGATATTCAATCATGAGAAAGGAGGAGACCACAGCTTCTAAGTTTTCACGAATACATTTTGGATCTGAAAGCACATATATGTATTACTGTATTTGTGCTAAGTGTTTGTTATATGTGGAGCCTTATTTACAAACTAGCCTGCTTCTTCTTTGATCTCTCCTCCCCTTTTACCCAAACTATTTCATGGCCTCTATCTTCCCATTTAACACGGTTTATCCTGCTACATGATTTCAGTGCTATTTTATTTTCCCTAATACTTGGGAAACTGTTCACTTCCAGGATTATGATATATCCATTTTTAAAAAATTTAAACAAGTTTCGCACAATGTTCTCTACTTTTTAGGTCTTAGTTTCTTAACACCTTTTATCCCTAGAAAAGGGATAATAGCTCCTACCATAGAAAGTTTGGGAGAGGCTCAAGTGAGATACTATACCTAAATCACTTAGAAGCTTGTCATGCATGTGATTAGCCATCACATATATTATGACAGTAAGAACTCTTATAAATATTTTTAAACTGTATTCAACTTTCTTTGACATGCTTGCTATGTAGATTCTACCTTCTAAATAACATCTAATAATTTCTTCACAAGTAAAATTTCTGAATCAAAATAAAATTTAATAAAAATCGCTGTTGATTTATCATCCATGCTTTCCTGGTACTTGTGAACTGATAGACTGCAGCTGAGGTGATTTAAATAAAATGTGGACTCCATTTTTTTTCTTTTGCCTACACAAAAGACTTCCTTGAACAATAAAATATAGCTATGAAGGTTTTACAACACAAGTGACTTTACACATACATTCTAGAACTTGTTATGGGTTATTTACTAGAGGTAATTTCAGATCCATGACCCTTATAATTCAGTTAAAGATTTCACACTGGAAAAATAAAAGAGAGAATATGGGTAAAGCATATCTAACGACTTGGTAGATATAATCAGTCACATATGGTCTTGAATCAGGTTGTTGAAAACACGTTATTGAAATTATCTTAAATTGTATTTGGAAGGTAGCTAAATCTTAATCTGAATTTACCTAAATCATCCTTCAGCAATTTGGGTTCTTGTCTGGACAGTACACATAACCAGAGAAGGTTCTAACAATTGCCATCCAAGTGCTATTCTAAAATATTTTGATTTGCACAATTCACAGAATGACAAAAATCTAACTCAAAATAAGGCAGTGGGTAGGTGAATACACCACCGAGTCATAACAATTAAGATGAAAACTTTCAGTGCTTAGATTATCATTAACAATTACATACTATATATTTATTATGTTGTTTTATTGATTTCAGAGAGGAAGGGAGAGGGAGAGAAAGATAGAAACATCAATGATGAAAGAGAATCATTGATCACTTGCCTCTTGCACACCCTCATCCCCACTGAGGATCAAGCTTGCATCCCAGGCATGTGCCCTGACCTGGAGTTGAACTGTGACCTTCTGATTCATAGGTCAATGCTTAATCACTGGACGACACCAGCCGGGCAATATATTCTTATTGTTGAACACAAGCATGCCTGGCATACTTTATAAAACAGTGTTTTGTCAATAACTTATGCACATGGTAAGAATCATTTTAATGGGGAGCCACAGATTCCAAAAAATGATGACCTGACTAGTGGAAAAAACAAACAAACAATGAAACTATACTATAGGCAGTTTATAGGAAGTGTTCAATAATTATTAAAGTGAATTCAATTATCAAAGGGAATTAGAAACATTAATTATTGCTGACATTCATTTCACAGACTTATGAAATTGATTTCAGCAGGTATCCCTAATTTGTAACTATATGGCATTTAAACCACAGTGCTACTCCATGTCTCCTGGAGACTGTGCAAGGAAATATTACCTTCTTATAAATCAAACTAAACATAGCTATCCTCATTTGCATTCCAATGTGATGAAGGCCAAAAATGGCTGGGTGCAGCAGCAGCATCCTCAGGATAAAAAGAAGGCATAATCCTATGCCCAGGTAAATGGCGATGGAGCGTTCCACCTTATTATCTGGATCGTAGGAAGCTATGATTCTTCCCAGCAACAGAGGCTGGACTGCTTTGGTGACCTCCTGGAGAAGAGAAGAAACAGAGAAGGGAAATGTTATTCCCCTTTCATAAAATGTCCTCACAACTTGCACACAGGACGTTTTATCTTTAGAGGAGAACTTAAAATGGCACACAAAGAGCCATGTCATAGGTGATAGAGGGAAGGAAAGACAGAAATGTTTATCTGAGAGAAACACGTCGGTTGCTTGCCTCCTGCACAACCCAGGTACATGCCCTTGACTGGAATCGAAACCAGGACCATTCGGTCTGCAGGCCAAGGCTCTCGCCACTGAGCCAAACCAGCTAGGACATACGTGAAATTCTTGCTATTGCTTTTAATATCTTTATACTTAAATTCCCTGCCATTGTGTCAACATTACATTTTTTCCATAACCTGTCCCCTCTATCACAATAGACCCATTTGCTGAATTATTATTTAGCTGTAATTTATAACAAAATAAATGAAAGGTGTGTTACTCTGATTTAGACATCTATTCCACATATTGTCATCAATGAACTAGTTAGTTGTCATCTGGCCAAAAGAAGGTACATTCATCATCCCTTGAACAACAAATGGCTATTCCACAAAAACACTGGTAACATTACTCTGGGGGGAGGGGGGGATGGGAGGAGGTGCATGGTCATAAAAAAAAAATGCAGTTTATTTTCAGTAGAGAAAATTCCAGTAATAGGACCATCTGCCAGCATCAAACCAACACAAACCTCATAACGTGGAACTGTTAATATTCAAGGGCAAAATCAGCACTCCAACCCCCGCCCTTCCGTTTTTTCCTACTCTGTTTTGAGCAGCATGTTCTCTAATATTTACAATGGAACCATTAACAGATATCACCTGATTTTTTTTTTTATTTGGAAGGGAAAACAATGGTAACTGATACCTCGCTGAGTCTTTGAAGTACAGTCCTTTACAAAAAGCATCCCTGTAATGACCGGGAGAAACATCATCCTACATTCTTGGCATGCGAAAGCTGTGTGTACACTATTGGTCAGATTATTTCAGAGACACAAGAAATGCCCCAATGAGGCACCATATAAAATAGTGCAAGCAGGCTGAGGCTTGATGGTAATGAGACAGAATATAAATTTATCTGAAAATTTGATCAAATATTTCATTACTTTTTATCAGCCACAAATCAAAATGGAATTTGCTTAATGGTTCACCAGAATAAAAGAAGACAGATACAAATGTTTAAAATGGCATGGCCATGAAATGAACACTGAACTCAAAGTCACAAAACCCACATGCTTATCCCAGGCTGTTGCTTATACTCTCTGTCAACTTAGCTTAGTCACTTCCCTTCTCTGGATGGTTTCCTCAAGAGTAAACTGAGCGGTGGGCCAAGCTGGTTTTGCAGCTCCCTTCAGTGTGAACATCTCTGATTTTATGGCCCGAGTCAGGGGTGTTTCATGGCACAGGCTGAGGATTCCTTGGGCAAATGGCCTGTCCCACACCCTGCCACCCTATAGGTGTTTATTCCTCAGAGGGATACAAGTCTGAACAATGTTGAGTTCAGAAGACCCAGTGCCTAGAGAACAGCACAAGTAATTGCATTCCAGGTGGGAATTCTCTCGAGCCTCAGTTTAGCTGAGTCTCACGGAGAAAAATTAAGAAGCCTGAAAATAACTCCTGGGAGATACATCTGGTCTCTCATGGGATCCTCCAGACCAGAGCTTAAAGTCACTGTGAATCTAAACCTTTTAGCAATTCTGTTCTGCCTGCATACCCAGGCCAGGACCAGATGTTTCTAAAGATAGGAAATCTGCTGGACACTTAGACCATGAAAGAAAGTTCAGATGGAAATAGAAAACTTGGTTCAGACTTGCATTTACATTAAATGAAATAAGCCCAAGACAACTTTACCTTGAAAATTACAATTACAAACCCAAATCATACTTGGTTCTAATACAAATAGAATGAATAATTGAAAATTTTATAAATTTATATTCTTTTCTATTGTGTGTAGTCAGTAAGAAAAATTTATAAATTTATATTATTTTCTATTGTGTGTAGTCAGTAAAGTCATTATTATCATCTCAACTCATTTTAAATACACTTTATATGTGTTAATCCCAGGAATACTAGGACATTATTTGAGAAATATTAAGTTGAGATTTTTTTATATTGATAGATTAATTAATAGCATACCAAAAGTCTACAGAAGAACCTATGATTATCTCAATGACAACTATAAAGGAATCTGATAAACTTCAGTATCTGTTTCTGATAATCTCTCTATATATAAAAGGCTAAGTGACCGACCATCTGTCCAACTAGTGGGTATATATGATGCATACTGGCAATTTAATAATAAACATTGACTCGCATATGTGCGATACATACCGTACAAAGCTCTCGCTGGCTCCAATTGCACACGTTTTAATTTTATGATACTATATTATATATACTACTAAAGGCCTGGTGCATGAAAAATTATGCACTGGAGGGGGGTCCCTCAGCCCGGCCTGCCTCCTCTCCTACTCCAAGAACCTTCAGGGGCAGGAAGTGACTCAGCAATCAGGGGAAGGTGATGCCCCATCACACCTCTTCTGTTGCCACTGCCAGCAGCACAAGCCTTGGCTGGCCCTGGTTACCTGAGCTTTGGGTGGCCCTTGGTGGCTGGGCAGCTGCCATCCAAACTGGGGGGCTGAGGGGACTCTGGAGGCAGGCGCGCAAAGTGGCCAGGTCCATCTGGGGACAGGCCCAGCCTTGCCATGTGCCTGCTTCCCTGGCACGGCTGAGGGGACTGAGCACACCATCTTTGAGGGCATGGTGGTCAATTAGCATATTCTATCCTTATTGGCTGTGGGCACCACCATCTTTGCGACAGTGTGAGGGTTAATTAGCATATTCCCTCTTTATTAGATAGGATTTTGACATGTAGTTTTTTGCAATAAGGTAATTACTGCACAAATCTTTCTTCTAATTAAATCCCTTTCAATGTGCATGAATCTGTGCACCAGGCAACTAGTGTTTTAAATAAATTCAAATATTAAGATACTAGAGGCCTGGTGCACAAAATTCGTGCACTGGGGGTGGTCCCTCAGCCCGGCCTGTGACCTCTAGAAGTCCAGGACCCCCAGGGGCATGTCCAACTGTTGGAAGCTGCCATTGTCCTCACTAGCAGAGAGGTGTGGACAAGGAATCTGGAAGGCTGGTTAACCTTGAAAACTCTGAAAGGTCAGAGCCAAGCACCCACTGTCTAGTTGAGACATTGGTAGCTAAAGCAACTTCCACTTTTTAGTTTTATGTAAATCATTGCTGATTGGCTATTATTGTAATTGCCTGCCTAAAGGCTATGGGTGTATCCCATAGTCTTAATAAAAGGGATAGCAAGGCCAAAGCAGGGTGAAGTTCTTCCCCTTGAATTGGGTTCCCACCTGGCACCCAATATTCCAAAATTTATACTTTCTTATCTATAATAGTCTCATTCATTTGTGTGCAGCCTCTTCCAAAGCCCAAATGCTGAACCACACGGGACATGGGGGTGGGGGGGACATTCGCAACTGGTGCCCAACCTGGGGCTTTTGTATCTGACTGATGGCTTAGGCTGATGTTGATGAGCCCAGCTTCTGGCTGAGTGGTGCTCCCTCTGTGGAAGCACATTGATTACCACGTGGCAGACCCTGTGTTGAGCATCTGCCCTCTGGTGGTCAGTGCACATTCAGTTGATTTGCATATTAGCCTTTTATTATATAGGACTAAAGGCCTGATGCGTTCAGAGATCATAATAATCTGGCCACTCAGTGTATATTTTATATTACATTACTAAGATATATTTTTAATTCTCAAATAAATAAGAACTTAAAATCTTTCTAAAAAGAAAACTGACTGTTGCAAAGATTACAAACCCCTCCAAGCTATAAGATTATGCAATCTTCATCAGAATTACAAGTAGAGTTTTTGGAAGTGAACTTTTACACCATAAGACACTCTATCCTATTATAGTTCTTACCAATCTCAACACCATGCAGGATACCTAGCACAAAATATTCATTCAGCATGTATTTGTAGAATAAATGGATAAAATGATTCTAAGTTTCAGTTTTTTAAATGAGAGACTAATGAAAAACATTTGAGGAATAAGAATAATGTGTGAGAGGGTTTACATAATAAATATCAAATCATATTACCGTATTTTCCGGTGTATAAAACGATTTTTGAAACAAAAAAAGTCAACCGAAAATTGGGGACAAAAGACCAAAATTGCACAAAAATTATCTGCAGATCTTGATGGTAAAGTAAGTCTTTTCTTTGAAGTGGGGGGTAGTCTTATACAGCGAATATAGGCCTAAACCTATGTTTTAACTATAAAATTAGGGGGTCGTCTTATACACCAGAAAATACGGTATACAACTATAATAACATATGGCATGAGAAAGAAATAGATTAATTCATTTGAAGGGTCCCAAAACTGGTTCAAGTACACTTAATACTTAATATGTAATAAAACATGGCATTTTTATTCAGTGGATAAAGGCTAGATCACTCAATAAATAATGGAGAAACTGAATACTCATTCTAAAAATTCAATTTATTTTAAATAATTATTTGTAAATTCCAGTTAATGTACAATACTATATTACTTTCAGGTGTACAACTCAGTGATTAGATATTTATATAACTTACAAAGTTATAAATCTAGTATCCATCTGACAGCATACATAGTTATTACATTATTGACTATTTCCTATGCTGTACTTTACATCACACATGACAAGTCTTTAACTACCAATCTGTGCTTCTTAATCCCTATACCCTTTCTCTCATGCCCCGAAACCCCCTCCCATCTGGCATCCATCAAAATGTTCTCTGTATCTATGAGTCTGTTTCTGTTCTGCTTGTTCATTTGTTTTTTAGATTCCACATAACTTAAATCATGTGGCATTTGTCCTTCTCTGACTTTTTTCACTCAGCATTAAACCCTATAGGTCCATTCATGATGTTGCAAGGGCAGTATTTTTATTCTTTTTTATAGCTGAGTCATGTTTCATTGTTTATATG